AGGAGCCTGGTTTGATTCTCAGCATCCATATGGCAGCTCACTGTAATGCCAGTTCCAGGGGATCCAACACTTCTCTGGCTTCCTTGGGCACTTCGTATAAGTGGTGCACAGACATACATTTATCATACACATAAGACAATAAAGAAGCAATTGTAAAAACATAAAAACTTTAAGCTGTTTCCCTATGTGCTCATTCCAGGCTACACAAGTGTGACCGTGCACTGTGGCCTTGTGCACCGTACTATGTTTTGGGGCCCTGAAGAGTAAAAAAATGAAAATCCCTTAGACATCTTGACAGTGTCAGGGTTCACCATTTACTACACTGGGACTCAAGTACATTAAGGGACTGGTACCTTCAACCTTTTCTATCCTATTTCTGTGACCTTTCTTCAGTTTCTTGCCACCCCAGGCACTTGCTATTTGTGCCTTGTCTGTGTCACTTTTCTTTTGCATATCCCTGAATCTTTAATCCTTCTCTACCCATCTGTTTCTTCTCACCATCTCCAATGTCGGGTGCACCCCCTTTTCCTATCCTGTAGCACAGCCAGTCTGCTTCCTCCCCACCCAATCTCTTCCCATGCCAAGAAAGCAGAGCTCATGGAGCAATTCTGTTATGAGATAGTACTGCCGAGCTGAAGAGGCTTTCCAGCTCCTCCTATTATTTGTCACCATTCAGTCACAGAAAGGACATACAAAGCACATAGAAAGCCTTTTATTGTGACATACTTTATTAAAGGAGCTACATACAGAGCTATTCCCCATTTTTAATGTATAAATTTGTATACATTTTGATAGTTTGTACACTTGTAAAGCTACAGACAAAAGGTTAACTGATTCTCTGTGCTCTTTTGTAGTCAATCCCACTGTCTTTCTGTAATTTATTTTTCATTTTGCAAATCTGATATACAATACTCAATAAAAAGTAGCCCCATACCCCTTGGCAGCATTTTTGTGTTCCCTGGTCTTGACTATGTACCTCAAAATTGAGTGGAGACATACAGTATTTGTCTTTTGGAGGGCTGGCCTTTTGTATGTAACATGATGTCCTTGAGGTTCGTCTGTTACAGTATATTTAGAATTTCCTTCCATTACATGTACACTTCCAGCCACCACTGAGGGACATTGGGTTGCTTATACCTTTTGACTACTGTGACTAACCCTCTTATGAGAGTGGGTATTTTATTTTTCAGCCTTTATATCTTAAAATATTTCTTCAACCCTCTTTTGTTAGTCAGCACATTTTGTTAGGTAGCTTGACATTAATCTACATGTTTTGTGGTCTCCTTTTTCTCTGTGTGTTTCAGTTCAACTGATTTCTAAAAATTTCTGCAGTTATGCCACATTCCCTGAATCTGTCAAAACCATTCTTTATCTCTATTACATTATTTCTGATACTGTCACTTGACTCGTCCTTGTAGTTTCCCATTCGCTGCTGAAATTCACAATCTGATCAAGCTTGGTGTGTCCTTGTTGACTAAAGCCTCAGAGGGCTATTTGCTTTCCTTGCTTAGCATTTCCTGCATCTCTGAGTAAAAAGCCATGCATTGCTTTCTCTTTTGTCACTGGCTTCATTTATTGCTCTTTGGTACACACTACAACTGAATGTCAAATATTACATTAAAAAAAGCAGCAGCAGTTCATAGTGGTTGTCCCTTTATCCATGGGGGATTGGTTTCAGGACCTCTTGTCAATACCCAAATCTGTGGGTCCTCAAGTCCCCTATGTCAAGTGGCATAGTGTTTGCATATATATCCTCCTGTACACTTAACCTCTAGATGAAATAGACTGATGCAGTATATATAATATATAAATAGTTAATGCTTTTCTATTTAGGAAATAATGATAAGGGAAAGTCTGTATATGTACAGTACAAATAAAATTAGTTGTTCCTAATCTTTCCAGTCAGTAATTGATTGAGATCACAGATATGGGACCTATAGATATGGAAGGCCAGCTACTATATTTCCTCCTATACTTGGGCATGACTGTTATGTTAGCATAGGAGTTAAGTCATTCTACTTAGGGGTTAAACTAGATTTTGATTTTGTTTAGCTTTTCACCCACCTCTAGTATTACTTTGTACTTAGGGTCAATGCTGACCTTCTGGAGAGATTTTCCCACAGTTCCTGATACCTCCTTAGCTTTTGGGTTGTCTTATGATTCATCCCCTTCACAATGGGAAGTTGCTGTCAACTTGGTGGAAAGAACCCAACTACCTTTTGGTAGCAGGTAAATGCTACCTTGTTTTTTCTGAGAGTCTTCTATGGGAATTTCTTACCCCTCTCACAGAGATTGAATACCTGAATCCTGGACTGTTCTGCTCTTCCTAGGATCTAGAGGTTTGTTCTCTTGGTTCCTAACAGTAATAGGTCATCCCCTGTGCCCAAAGAAGTAGGGGGACAGTTTGAGATTACCTTTTTCTAATCCTCGGCAGCCTGTATAGCCTTCACACAGTGAGGGTATCTCCCTTCATCCAGGCCTCTCTTGTCTCCTCTTTGCTTCCAGTCTTTCACTAATGCTGCTTCTGGCAGAAGACTGTGGTGAAGAGCTGTCAGGAGAGTGTAACACTTCTCTTGGCCCATGTGTGTGTCTTCCAAGAATCTTAGAGATGCTTTTTAATAACTTTCTTGTTATTGGGGAAGTCCTTCTGTGTATATGTTTCTCTTTTTGGTTGATGAATAAAACACTGTGGCCAATAGAGGCAAGGAGATAGGCTGGACTAGGAGATGAGGAGAATTCTGGGGAGTGTAGGCAGACAGGAGTCACCATGTGGAGACTGGGAGGATAGGACTCACCGGACCCTTCTCCAGTAAGATAAAACCTCATGGAAATACTTAGATTAATAGAAATGGGTTAATAATTAAGACAGAGCTAGCCAATAAGAAGCCCTAGTCACCAGCCAACAGTTTCGTAACTAATATAGCGTCCACGTGTTTATTTGCGGCTCAAGGGCCACAGGACCAGCTGGGTAAGAACCTTTCGTAGCATTCTTGCTCACAAACAAATATCAATCATGGGTAAAATCGTATCATTATTTTGTTGACATAAAGAATAAATACATTTACCCAGATTTAACCATAGTATACTGGATATTTAGGGTTATGTCTTAAACTTGAGCCTTGAATCTAACCAGCAAATTTGAAGATATTGGATGTGCTGAATAGTTTTTTGTTAGCTTGACACAAGCTAGAGTCATGTGAAAGGAGGAACCTCAACTGAGAAATGCCTCCATAAGATCAGGTTGTAGGGAGAGAGAGCTCAGTGGTCAAGAGCACTGGCTACTCTTCCAGAGGTCCTGAGTTCAATTCCCAGCACCCACATGGTGGCTCACACCATGGTGGTAATAAGATCTAGTGCCCTCTTCTGGCCTGCAGGCATAGATGCAGGCAAAAGACTGCATACATAATAATTTTAAAAAAAGATCAGGTTGTAGGTAAGCCTGTGGGGCATTTTCTTAATTAATGATTGATGGGGAGAGCCCAGCCCATTGTGGGTGGTGCCATCCTGGTGGTCCTTGATTCTATAAAAAAGCAGGCTGAAGGGTCAATGGGGAACAGGCCAGTAGGTAGCACCCCTCCATGGCATCAACATTAGCTCCTGCCTCCAGGTTGTAGCCTTGCCTGAGTTCCTGTCTTGACTTTCTTCAGTGATTGACTACAATATGGTGTAAGCCACATAAACCCTTTCCTCCCCAGCTTGTTTTGGTCATGGTGCTTCATTGCAGTAATAGAAACTCTAACCAAGACACTAGAAAATCCTAGGATAAATTGGAAAATATTGCTAACCTACTTTAAATATATATTTTGATGGTCATATCTTTTTTAATAAGTACATTGGTCAGATGAATTAGATTCGCCCTAAAGAGCTCATTTAACCCTATTTCTCTAGTATCAATCATACTGTGATACTCTAAAAGTTAGGATTCCAATATATAAATTTAGGTTGTGGGGCTACTTAACCTGTAACAAAAGACACTGAAAACCTAGTTCGAATGTAGAGATCCCACAGGATGACAGTGTCCAACAAAGCCTTGTGCTACAATGAAATGTTCTGTGTCTCTGCTAACCACTAGTAATGTGCAGCTTGTGGCTATTGATTGTATGAAGTGTGCCTAATGAGACTGAAAAGTGAGTTTTTAATTTTATTAATATTGAATAATATAAATAACCACATGCAGCCGTGGCTAACATTTGAATAATGCTTGACTAATCTCTTTCTTTAACATGTAAAGACTGGAGGATCAATAAAGTTAAGATATGGGTCTAGTACCACAGTCATAATAATTGAAATAAATAGTTACCAAATTCTTAATGGAGTTTCTACCAATAGAATATAAAACAAAACTGAGATAATATGTATTAAAATGCCCTCATTCTTTCTCTATAAAGATGTTGTAGTTCATCTTTAGAATGGTATTGTTTTCTGACCTGTAGATTTTAGAAATAAGCCTTTAAAGTCATTTTAATTTTTAATTTTAAATAGGTTTGACAATTGCATAGAGCAAATGTTTAAATTAGTTCAGTAAGATTTCAGTTATCTGATTGGAGAGTCTATTTAAATGAAATACTTCTGGGGGAAGCTGGTAGGTAGTTTTAATAAAAACTAATTCCTTTAGAGCAGGTGAATAGTTAACATGTTTTTTTGTACAAAACCTAAATCTAAAATGTCATTCCACAAAGGAAGAATTTGAAGAGTTTCTTTTTTGAGAATAAAAGTAGTTGGCTAGGTTGATAACTTCATTTATTGCTTCATTCTGTCCTTTAATGTTTTGACGAGATACTGTTAACTGGTAAACTTTAGAAATAATTAAAGCTAATTTTAGATTTACAGCAAAGTTATGAATCTGCAGTCCCAAATACCCTTCACCCGGTATTCTATAGTTAATGTCTTACATGATTGCAGTATAACCATCGAACTTTGGGGGTCAGCACTATTGCAATAATACCAACTAAGTATTGGCCTTTCACTCACGATTCTTCTTTTTGTTGTTTCTTTGGCAGTGCTGGGGATCGAACCCAGGGCCTCTCCCATGCTAGGCAAGTACCTTACCACTAAACTACACCTGCAGCCCCAATGTTCCCTTCCCATTTTCATTGTTATCTCCAGACTCTGTTCTGGTCCTTAGTCTTTTCTTCATATTTTTTAAGTATTTCGGTGAATTATTTTGAAGAATGTCCTTAAATTTGGGTTTATATTTTTTTTCTTATTTTATTAACATTTTGAGTTTGTTTGCTTCTTTTAAGACTGTCATTGGAAATGATCTGCTGTCCTCTTCTGTCCTGTCAGGGGGTTATAATGTGGATATATCTTAAAACTGATATTAAGCTTTAGAAATTTTGATGATGGAAACTGCCTTTAATATATTGCAATTATTATAAAATATCAGTCTATAAAACATGCATTTCGATGCAAACTGATACTACATACAAAATCATTGAGTAAAGAAAGCTGTAAGCATCACTGGTTAATGGGATAGAGTTAGTAGAATTTTATTAATTGGAATAAATTCAATAATGAAAAGGAGAAACCATCGTTTTCTTTCAAATAAGACAATTCTCCGTTGGAAAGTTAACAGAATAATTGTCAAGAGAGGGGCCTTCCCGATGAATAGAATTGCTTTTGCAATAGAAGTTCTTAGAACTAATTTCTTGAGCTAGTATATCATATGAAATCATTTTATTATAATTATTATAATACATTTCTGTATTAGAACATTTAAAAATTCTGAATATAAAGATACAAATCAGTAATTTAAAAAAATACTACACCACCTGTTCCAACCTTATTGTCATGAAAGCATCCTCATATGTCCCCACTGAGGAATGAAACTATAGTGGACTTTGGTGCCCTTAAACAGTATGCTACATTGTTAGGTATTATTTTTGGCTTTGGGTATATGATATGTGTATAATATATATTAACATATATGTGTATCACATTTACCTGTTAGAAGTATTGCATTCTAGAAGTACTTTTTGTTTTTATTGTTTGGGGTTGTCTTTGAAATCATCTATAAGCTGGATAATAGAATTAAATAGTGTTGTCCATTCAGAAACAATACTCAGGAAAACGGTAAAATTTTCTCCTTATTTTGTTTTAGTTCAGCAATCAGCAAGCACTGGGAGGCTGAACTAGCTACCCTCAAAGGAAACAATGCCAAACTCACTGCAGCCCTGTTGGAGTCCACTGCCAATGTGAAGCAATGGAAGCAACAACTAGCTGCATATCAGGAGGAAGCCGAGCGGCTGCACAAGCGGGTGAGGCCAGCGCCACAACAGCGCCGGGGAGAAAGGGTTCTGTGGGAAAGGGAGATGATGCAGGACATGGAAACCTAGGCATACCCTTTGTGAGCAGGAATATATGTGAGCTAAGTTTTCCTGTTTTACTGTCCCAAGAAAAATATTTCTCACAGTTTAATGAAGATAAAGATTAAACAGCTTTTGAAAACAAATGAACCGATTGTAGTTTCAACTGTACCGATTAGCTGTGTGAGCCAAGATATCAGAGAAGTAAATAGGAAAAACATAGAGACGAGGGGACAAAGTTAGAACAGAACAGATACTGTCCTTTCGTGTGTATAAAAATTAACTTTCGATTTGCAAGATGAGAAAGCTGTGGAGCCCTGTTTGTAATACATGGATATACTTAATGATTAGTAAGATAATTTTTGTTAATTTTTTTTATCACAATGGAAACCTAATTTATGACAAATCAGTGGTGGTAAATATCCATTGAAGATGTGTTACGTTCTCTTGCAGCAGTCAGTTGAATTGAATGTTAAAGCATCCATAAAGTACACATGTGTAACCCTAACACTTGAGAAGTGAGGAAGGAATCTGCAGTCTTTATTGACTCACAGATGGAGCATCTGGTGGTGCTTCTCTATAGCCCCAGCTACATCATCATCTCCTCGTAGCTGGTGTCAGTTCCTTTAGGATTGTGCTGTGGGTACACCAGCAACAAGTTATCTCAGCTGTGCTTTAGACGGCTTATCTGACTACTGCTTCCATTTCCTGTTTCCCACATGCAGTCATTTTTAGGTACATATTGGACATTATAGGTGAGGTTTTATAAAGTCTTCTAGTTCCTTTGATGAGTGTTATTATTATTATTATTATTATTATTATTATTATTATTATTATTATCAGCAGCAGCAGCAGGCAATAAATCCCTTGAATTTTTATTTTGATAGATTTAGTTTATTTCAGTTTTCACTGAAATGAAATGATTGGGGAAAAAATCACTTAGTCTAGTCCCAGGCTGTCTTTATCCTTAAGATGCCACCCGCTTGAGGTGTCACTGGAAAGCTTGAAGTGTTTTCAAGGTCTCATTCATTTGACAAGATTTCGAATTGCCTTCTCTATGGCAAATGCCACTACAGCTCAGTCCTTCCAATGTCCAGTTTTTCTCTGTCCACACCTAACCCCAACCCCTCACCCCGACCCTTTACTCCCTTATCCTTTAACTGTGCACACTCAGCTGTGGAGTCCACTGAAGATTTGTGGGAGGTCTATTTGCCTTACATTTAATTCCCCTAATTTCTAGAAGTCCAAAATGCTTGGATGACTCAGGAAAATAAAGCTAAAGGTTTCAGCTTGAGTTCATCAAGCTGTACAGTACTGGTCAGTGCCTTTAGATACTACACCTAATGTGACTACTCTTCTAGAATTGGCTGTTTGGGACTTTAGTTGTTGTTTGTTGTTGTTAGTTAGTTTTTTGTTTGTTTGTTTGTTTTGGTTTGTCTGTTTTGCACACAGGTTTTTTTGTTTTTTGTTTTTTTGTTCTCTTACCTGTGAGAATGGTAGTTCACTAAAAGCATTCCATTGTTACCAACACTGAAATTCCCTTTAAGATATTTTTAGTTAATCAAATAAATTGTATATTGACTTGTACAAGTCAAACTGATGTACATTAAGCAATAAAGTGTTTGCAAAGATGTGTGTGTGTGTCTGCATGTGGTTGTGGGTGTGTTCGTGTGATGGCACTCGTCTGTTGAGGTTTTGGGGACTGAACTCAGGTTGTCATATTTGTGCGGCACTCGCTTTTCCTGCGGAGCTATCCCCCCAACCCATTCCCAGTAGTTTTTTATTAGATGCCCCACATTGTGAACAAGGGAGAGGAGAGTGTTGAGGGTTCCCACAGAAGGGATTGGCTTTCAGAAAATGGGTGCTGAGTTGACTCCCTGTTAAGATCAGAATGGTCTTCAGAGGCACATTCTAGTTCAGTCAAGATGGACATGAACCCCATTTATTCTTAGGTCAAAGAGAGTTGCCTGCTGTTACAGTTAAAAGTATACACCTTGGCCAAAGTAGATGATTAGATAGGCTGCAGCCACTGAATGAAAGACCCTAAGATGTAATTTACCATGGTGGTCTGGTGATACAGCCCAGTGGTACAGTGCTTGCTTCACATGTAAAAGGCCCTGCGTTCAATCCTCATTGGTGAAAAGAAGAAAAAAAAAGATTTAATATTATAAAAAGGCTTTGAATGTCATACAATGAAAGATTAATTTGTTAGCAGTTCCAGAATATCAAGGAAGAGAGAGAGACCACAGTTGTAATTAAACCTGCTGCAGGAGCATTGCATTTGTTCAGTCCTAAGCAATAAAGGTCTCTGTTAGGAAGCATATTAGTGCCTGTGCAGAAAGGAAGTAGGATGTGAAAGAAACACTTAACAGAATATAGAGGGTAATTTGCTATTTTGAAGGTTCAAGACAAGTTTGCTTTATCCTAGTTAGTAGAACTTTGAGAGTGTGCTGTATGAAAAGTTATGGTAGGGTGTCTATAAATGTATCCATGATTTCTTCCTGTATTAACTGGGGTGGATCCCTTTTAAGGACACTGACCTTTTCTATTATAAAGGAGTCAAGTGCTCATTAAAAAACAATATTATTTGTTGGCTCTTGGTATAGTCTTAGTGACTGAAGAACTGTTGTCTTTCCCATAAGAGGCACAGTTGACATGAAGTCATTCTAATATCCAGATTCTTAAGGTGTTTTTAAACATATCTTTCATTTCAGATTCTCTCGTATTTTGGAAATATATTTGAAAGAATCTTTACTTCCGCAAGGCCAGTTATCAGAACTCATATTTACCTGAAGACTACAAATGGGGAAAGCAGTCATAGCTATACTTGTATAAATTCTAAGGAACTTTCCTTACAGGGATTCTTTGTGTTTTTTTGTTTTTTCGAGACAGGGTTTCTCTGTGGCTTTGGAGGCTGTCCTGGAACTAGCTCTTGTAGACCAGGCTGGTCTCGAACTCACAGATATCCGCCTGCCTCTGCCTCCCGAGTGCTGGGATTAAAGGCCACCAACGCCCGGCTCAGGGATTCTTTGTAGTGATTAGTCACTTGTTTCCCCTAACCTGGCTCTGACTAGCATTTGGATAATTCATTGTCCCCAAACTATTTAATAATCCTTTGGTTTTTGCCATCACCTTAAATATTTATCTTTCAACAATTTATTTTATGCTGAGAATCTTAATAGTCTTTCATATAGTAATTCAAAATTCATGAACTTCTCAGGAGCTTACTATGACTTCAAGAAACCCTTTGAAATTGCCACTTAATTTAACCTGTGTTCTCATTTAATTGCAGGTCACTGAGCTTGAATGTGTTAGTAGTCAAGCAAATGCTGTGCACACCCACAAGGCAGAACTAAATCAGACAGTCCAAGAGCTGGAAGAGACACTGAAAGTGAAGGAGGAGGTAGGCACCATTCCTTTGTCCCCCATGATCCAGATAGCACTGTATACAACATAGTAGACTGTCAGGTCTGAAGACTCTGAAGTAGAGTGACACTGTGGGCTTTTGTTTCAAAGATAAAACTTGTACTGAATATTATGAAACTTGTTCATGTTTTCCCCAGTCATATTTCTGTTGTTATTATTAACCGTGTTGAACTATGGCTGCCTTTTGTATGAGAGTTATGTAATCAACAGGAAACCATTAGAAATTAAATGAATTTTTGCAAGTTGATGCTTTCTTTGGTTTCTAGTCAAAAAAGAACTATTTTATGTACTAAGGGGAAAATTGTATCTCAAACTTGAAGCTGTATATTTAGTGCTATGCTAAAGCCATCAGATTATACTTGATGGTAAAAGTCTTTCTGAACTGGGCATATAATACTGTGCCTGTAGTCCCAGGATTTGGGGGCCACACCGGAAGCTCTTGAGTTGAAGCCAGCTTTTGTATGTAGTGAGTTCAAGGAATAGAGTGTGAGACCCTGCCCACTTCCAAGAAAGGAAGAAGGAAACTTTACTCTGTTCCAGGCAACATACCTATACAGACACATATCTCTCTGAAAGTCAATAAAGGGTAGTTTTTTAGTTACTCTTTCCCCAGAATTAGGAAATAATTTCAGGGGAAAATTAGTTCTTCCCTCTCCTTATTTTAAGTTAAATGTTGTTAAAGACATTTCTTTACCTTTTCCAGGAAATTGAAAGGTTAAAACAAGAAATCGATAATGCCAGAGAACTCCAAGAACAGAGGGACTCTCTGACTCAGAAACTACAGGTGAGCTAAGTAAAAATGTTAATTGATTCTGTTAATTATACAGAAAGAATTAGTCATTCTTTCACATCATAATGGCTTTTTTTGTGCCTTCATTTTTATTTTTTTCTAATATCTGTGCTTCATGCCTAATAACTTATGTTCAGTGTTCTAGACTTTCCCTGATTACTTCATTTAGGTAGTTTGTAATCATTGGTGGTCATTTATAAATTGTTGTTAGTATAGTACTTTGGAAATTTCTCCCTTTATCATTAAAGGTATCTTAAACTTAAGGGAAAACATCTCAGATGGATTTCATTTAGTGTGCCGAGCTACTGTCTGAAATCTGGCATTCCTGTACCATAATGGAACACAAGTCAGTGTCTTTTTCCTTTCATCGACCTTAATCAATTTTGCCTACTTTTCTGCATAGCTGACATGCTTCCTGACTCCAGTTGACATGTATCCTGTACTGGTGGGAGTCAATGTAGAAAGATTTTTCAAAATTCATTAGTAAGCTGCCTTTTGGCAGTTTAAGCTAGCTGCCTCAAGGGTTGGAAGTACTTTTTTTTTTTCCCTAAGATTTATTTATGTATACAGTGTTCTGCCTGCATGTATGTCTGCAGGTCAGAAGAGGGCACCAGATCTCATTACAGATGGTTGTGAGCCACCATGTGGTTGCTGGGAATTGAACTCAGGACCTCTGGAAGAGCAACCAGTGCTCTTAACTACTGAGCCATTTCTCCAGCCCCTAGAAAGAAGTACTTTAGAACAGAAACAAGTGTGATCACAAAGTGAGGAGTTTTTTGTCAGAGGCATATGAAGAGATCCTGGAAGCCCAGGAGTAGAAAGATGACCAGTGTATAGGAGGACTCAGCAATGTTTACTCAGTACTTGCTGTGTATAGATGCTGTGCCAAGCACTCTTCATACTATATCAGAATATCACAGTACAATGCTGAGGAACCCAGGGCTTAGAAAAAAAGTAACTTGTCCAACCCATATATTTAGTTCAAGACAATCAAACTCTAATGCCTCTGTCCTTGACCACCAAACTCTGCAACAGTGGTGACCCTTCAGAAAGAAAACAGACTTGGCCAGGCATAGTTTCATACACCTTTAATCCCAGCACTTAGGAGGCAGGGGCAGAAGGATCTCTGTGAGTTTGAGGCCAGCCTGGTCTGATTATGAGTTCCAGGACAGCCATGGCTATACAGAAACCCTGTCTCAAGGAAAAGCAGAAAAAGAAAACAGTTTCCTTCCATGAAACAGCCCCATCCCCACTCCCTTGCTTCACTTGTCAGATCCCTTCAGCAGACTGAAGGAGAGATTACTTGTTTGGGTCTATCATAGAAAGTGTTATTTCTAGATTTCAATTCTCAGCTGGCAGCTCTGTATCCTAAAGATCGCTTTCTAATGTGTGAAGACATTTTATAGCTTCATTACTAGGAGAGTGTTACCAACACTTAGTAGTCAAGGCAGTGATACTGCTAAACGGAGTTTATCATCTGGCCCTAAATGTCAGGGTGCTGAGGCTGAGAGGCCCTGGTGGGGCTGAGTATGATGCATGCAACTGGGGCTGGAGGGAAGAGGACGGGTGTTATTAAGACACATAGCTACAAAGTACTGAAGATTCTCTTGTTTGATTCTAGTCTACTCTTTATATGTGTCTTAGTTACTGTCTATTGCTGTGAAAAAGACACCATGACCAAGGCAGTTTATAAAAGGAAGCATTTAATTGGGGGCTTGTTTACAGTTTTGGAGGATAAGTCCATGATGATCACAGTAGGGAATGTGGCAGCAGGCAAGCCTGGTACTGGAGCAGCTGAGAACTTACATCTTGTTCACAGGCAGCAGGCAGAGAGTGACTGGCCCAAAAGCATGCACTTTTGAAACCTCAAAGCCCACCCCCAGTGACAAACTGCCTCCAGCAAGGCCACACTTCTTAACCCTTTCCAAAGCAGTTCCACCAACTAGGGACCGGGCATTCACATATATATGGGGGCCATTCTCAATCTAACCACTGCAATGTGTTTACAATACTTTACTAATGATTCCTTTTAAAATGTTTGTCACTGTAAATTTTTGTCATATTGACAGCGACCCCCTTCCAAAGAAAAATTGAGATGTTTAAATCTTCATAGCATATCAAACTCATATTAAACATCTATGTTGATATTTCTACGTCTGTCTTCTTGTCATTTGAGTAATAGCTTAATTTTACGGCAAGCCCCTAAAATTGTGTCAGCCATTAGCACTTCTTTCATTTAATATCAAGTATTATCATGAAAAGTCTACACGGTACATCTATTACCAAAAGTATCAGTACTCTTGAGTCTCCATTAGAAGTCTATTCTAATGGACAATTATATTCTGTGGTGCTGGATGAACTCCCACACTGCAGTTGTGGAGTTGAATCAGAGGTGAATAGCAATCACCTTTACCTGCTGAGCCATCTCACTGCCCTGTGGTCTTTATACAATCTTTCGGGTGCCAGTTGTGCTTTCACCTTAAGAGCACGTGGGATGTCCTTGCTTGAAAACCTAAGCTGCCAGGTCATCAAGTGCCTGGTTTCTCCCTACAATCCAAGTCTTAGTTCAGATGTTAATTTCTCTGTGTTGCCCACTTAAGCACTGCTGTTCCGATACCTACTAAGTACCCCATTCCCAAGTATGCTTTGTTCTGTTACCAGGCTTCATTCTCCATCTTGTAGTTATCACCATTTGAAATGATCTTATTTATTTCCAGTGTATTTTTTAACTTTTTATTTTGAAATAATTTTAGACTTAGAGAAAAAGCTGCAAGAATAATTCAGTTATATGTCTTTCCCTTACTTTTCCCAAACCCTAATATATTTGTGCTATTTGTTTTATCATTTTGTAGCTGTCCCCCAACGCCCTTCCTGTCTTCTATTTCACTGTCCATATGCATCTATGTTATGTTTCTTTCCTGAACTTCTTGAGAATAAGTGGCACATATGATTTTCCCTCTAAATACTTCATTGTTTCTTTTCTAAAACTAAAGATCTTCACTTACATAACCATCAAATTCATGAAATTATTTATCCATGCCTTAGTCAAATATAATCACCTTAATCCCTTTTATAAGAAAATTTACAAATAGTCTTTCTGCCTAGTAATCCATCCATTCCATGATCTGGTGTTCTATCTGTTTGTCATGTCTGTTTATATTGGTGTTCCAGCTTTGGCCAAGGAAGTCAGGACAGGACTCAGATGGGGCAGGATCCTGGAGGCAGGAGCTGATGCAGAGGACACAGAGGGGAGCTGCTTACTGTCTTGCTTCCCATGGCTTGCTGAACCCACCTTCTTATAGAACTTAGGACCATCAGCCCAGGGATGGCACCACCCACAATGGGCTGGGCCCTCCCCCATTGATCATTAAATGAGAAAAATGCCTTACAGTTGGATCTCAAGGAGGCATTTCCTTGGCTGAGGCTCCTTCCTCTGATGACTCTAGCTTGTGTTGAGTTGACACACAAAACCAGCCAGTTTACCTACCCAGCATTTACCTGGCTTCTGGGGATTCAAACTCCAACCTCACACTTCTGAGTGTTTTAACCATTGAACTATTGTCCCAGTTCAGAATTAGTCAATTTTTTTCTAAAGACCCTCTCTAATCTCTTTTGGGAAATATTATTTTAATTTGAGCCAGATGGTAGTAGTACATGCCTTTAATTCTAGCACTTGGGAAGCAGAGATAGGCAGATCTCTGAGTTTGAGGCCACCTGTTCTATATAGGGAGTTCCACGCCAGCCAGGACTGCACAGAGTACCCCTGTCTCGGAAAAGAAAGAAAAGAGTGGGGGCAAGCCAGCCAGCCTGTAAAGGCAGGGAATATATCTCAGTGGTAAAATGCTTGCCTAGCATATGTGAAACACAGGATTTGATTCTCTAGTACTGCCAAAGAACAAACAAAAGGAAACAAAATCTGGGCTACATATGCTCTTGCTGCCATTGTGGCATCGTAACTTCTAGTCCTCCTTAGTAACCTTAAGTACAACCGTATTGCACAATGTCATTTTTAGTAGGGTTATGTGTGTGTTTAAAAGCTGAGATTATCCTTATAGCTTCCTTTTGCAGTAGAATACTGTGCAGTGATAGGTGACAAATGATAACTTTCCCCAGCCCCAAACCAACTAACTTGAATATACACTAAAGATAAAGGTAATTGTTTTAATCTGTTGTTAGTAGGTTTGGAATTTTTGTTTTTGTTTGACCATGGTGTCAATCGGAAACTACTTTCTGGGCTGTCTAGGACTGAGCAGGTGATATACTGTGGAAAATGGGAACTAGGTTTCTAAGTATGGAAATAGGGGAGGCTAGACCATTTCAAATTCAGCTGAAATGCTGCTTCTTCTGTTAATGGTACTTCCTGCTCGTCCTGAGGACCAGATCATTTCCCAGCATCCAAGTCACGAAGCTCACAACTGCCTATAATTAGTTCTGGGGGATCTGACACCTTCTGGCCTCCACGGGCATCAGGTATCAGCACATACATGCCTACACATACACTTGGGCATAAATAAAAATTAAGAAAAATAGTTAGGTTAGTTTTCCCAACTGAAGGGATCTCAGTTGGATAAATTATTCATTAAAATATTTAAATTTTTTTATCTTTATATTCTATTGTCATCCCCCTACCCAATTCTTCTTAATTTTAAATGTGTTAGTATTTACTGAATATATGAGAAACAGACATGGTCTCAAAGACAGTACCAGTCAAAAATGCATCTTCAAAGGCCTGTCAATCCCTTCAACCTAGTGCCTTGCTATTTCCCCACCTTTTCACTGCCTAGAATTCTGTCTCCTATAGCTATATATATACTGGAATATATATATATATATATATATATGTATGTATTTCCTCCCTTTTGTAATACAAATAACATAGTCAAGATTATTCCATTATACTTTGCATTTTTCATATAAAATACATACTGAAAATCTTTGTATAAGTTTATAGTGATTTTTTTTTCTTTTGAGACAAGGTATCACTGTGTAGCCCT